CCAATTAACCCAGGCATAGCCTGTGAGTGTAATCTTCGGCACTCTCTTTACCTTTTCTTAGGACAGAGGGGACACCAGGCAGCTCAGTTCCCGCTGTTGGATGCTGAACACCTCTCTCCCTCACTTCACCATCCAAAAGGGAATACATTCAACTATCTTCTCAGATTTAAACAAATTCTTTTTCCAGCAATGTAGCATTACAAAGTTGATGCAATAAAGCAACATCTTCACTTCTCTTAGAGAAGAAACTGCCACCATGTCTTCTCCATCTAGCTCTCTCTCCCATAGGAAGGGCATCCTTTCCCAAGAGTGTACCTACAGGCTGTGGCTCAGTACCAATTACTAAATCCAAAAACCAAATCCTCCGGGCCAAACTCTCTCTATTAACTCCACTACATGCCTATAGATCTCCTCACTTGAAAGTGATAGGAGTGTTTCCTGGATCCCAAAAGGCCCCCCACTAGTGTGAGCTCTACTGGTTGCATTCAAATATACATTTGATGTTTTTAAATAAATACATAACTGCATACATTTTATTTTATATCTGCCTAGCATTCAGCATGAGATTCTTAAAATGTAATTTTATCAATTCCCAAAATGCTGAATTATAATACTGACATTTGGAAAAACCTAGTTGGGTCTGTGTTCGAGGAAACACAGTTAATGCTTCTTGGCTAAAAGAATTTATAGCCTATGGCATGTGTCCATGTAACCCATGATCCAGGGAGAATGTAGGTCTTGCCAATAAGTCAACTCTAACACAGCAATGCACCATAAATCCTAAGCTGCAGAAGTTTAAAAATATCCTTTTGAGGGCAGCAGTTGGTTGTAGGAATTAATATAGCAAATGAAGAGTGGTGCTGTATGCAGATGAAATATTTCTGTTTTTGGGTGATAACACTATTAGCTTACATGCTTCAGTGAAACGTGCCAAACACTGTTTAAGAGATAAACTTTTCATTGCAGTTATTATTGTTTTTTTTTTAACACAAGTAGCATTTTTTTAAATTATTGACTTCTAATCAAAGCTCATCGCTGGGGAAAACATGACTTAAAACTTAACATGAAAACTAATTTTTTTGCCTAAATATGGTCTTGTAGTTGAAGCACTAAAAGATAAGTGTACTTTTAGTCCAGTTATCCTTTAACTTATCTAATCTCTCAAGCACCACCCAAAACTCCTATATTCACGTGTCCTCCCTGATTTTGAAAACCTTATCAAGATTAGGACACCACATCCCATATATATACACATGTATAAGAACAAGAGTAGTGTGACCTTTAAAGAAAAACTCCAGGCAAAACTTTTATTAACCCTTGCAGTATGGGGTAGCCCTGCTAAGTTTGGTCTAGGGAGGTGAATGAGAAAGTTATGCTTACCCAATTTTCTGAGCTGTCTTGCTCTTGGACCAGTCCTGTCAGCCTTGCTTCCCCTCCGATGCTGCAGTCTAAGATCCCGTAAATCATCATGTTCTATACACAGTGTATAGAACGTGAGGATGGCAAGGGATACACCATCACTGGAGCAGTGGAGGAGACAGGCAAGAGGGAGCGCTGTCATAGCCGGTCAGCTTGCAGGATCAGGTGAGTATAACTTTGTTATTTTCCTCCCTAGACCAAAATGAGCAGTTAACCCTTGCAGTTTGGGGGTAGCCTCACTGTAAGGGTTAATAATAGTGTTGCTTTAAAGTGATAATACAGTTAAAAGGTTTATAATAAATTCAAAAGGTTTTAACGATTTTGGATGCTGATGAAATCACTTACAAATATGGATGCACCGATACGAGTATCGGTATCGGTGCCGATACCGAGTATTTGGGCGAGTACTTGTAGAACTTGCGAGTTGTTGCTGACAGTCTGTTCCAGAGCTGTCTGTATTGCCCCAGCACTTCTCTGCATGCTTTGAACCCCCCCCAAATGATAAAAAGACTGTTCACCCAAGACACCACATAACGTCACCCCAGGTTATTAACATACAGCTACTCAGATATATATGTAACCTGCTGCGGTGAAGGACCTCTCTGACATGACAGCAGGGCAGGCTAGTATCTCAAGCGCATGTAGCTAGCATCCCCCACCAATGGTACAGCACTAATGCCCAAAAGTTATTGAAAGTTATCACTTGAAAATGATTTATTTACAACCTTTACTGCCTGCTACTTTGCTTAAGCTGGCCAGGGACAACCCAATAAAAGAAAAGATTGGCCAAAACAATTTTTCATGATAACAACCGAAAAACATAAACAAAAACTAAACCTGAAATACTGTTCCAAAGAAATAATGTAACATTAAAATATACTGTTGGCGGGAAGTAAAATGGCTGGGTCTGGACCAGTCTTTGACTCTCAGCACTATCAAAGGTCATGTTTCTGCTCTTTCTTTTTTCAGATACTGTGGACTTCTCATTCCTTGAATAAGAACAGTGTAAAGATATGAACATTAAAAAAGCATAGCATGTAAAAGGGCAGCTTTGCCCGTGCCAGGAAAAAGTGACACAACCAAAGCCAACGTGTGCGAGGGCAGCCAGCCTATGTGCTTTGGTTTTCCTCTGCAACTATACCTCCAGTGCATTGGACTAAAGCCACAGGATTAAAGAAATGTAATGGCAGCTTTAGCAAACAGGGGGTCGAAATAGGTGGCTGCTTGGGGGCCACCCTCTATTGTGCAGGAGTATGTGGTGATATCTCACACACAAAGGGCAGCTTTACCTGCTTAAGCAACATGTTTGACACAAAGGTCACCTTCTTGGGAGGTCGAATAGCCTGTTTCCATTGGGTGTTTCCTTCACCTAAGCCTAATGGCCCGTGGATACAGGCGCTATTAAGGGATGTGAGGAGCTTTGCCACTCTACCTTAGGCCCCGTTCCCACTGCACGATATGCAAATCGCGCGTTTGTTGCGCGATTTGCATATTGCGCGACATCGCAAGATTTGCCACGCAATGTCGCGTTCAAGCTTGCATTGAGCAAGCTTGAATCGCGGCTAAATCCGCTCCAAAAAGGGTAGCGACACACGACCCGCGACAGCAGGACCCTTTGCCCCATTGGATTGCATTGGAGCGCGATATCGCGCGGTAATTTGCCGCGATATCGCGGGAATTACCGCGCGATAAATCGCTCAATGTGAACGGGGTCTTAGAGTGGGGCACTTTGTGCTTCTTCTTGAATGCTAACATAGATGAAACAGGAGCCACTGAAGTGATGATGGTCTGGTGATGCAGGTGCCGCCACTGCAGCAAGGTTAATGTGAAATTCTGATCCATGGAGGTATCGTGCTTCAGGCAGTGGGCAGCCAGCTTGTGTTGACTCTGCAATTTCCAAGAGAACATACTTACATATTCTTTGGGGTGTTTGGGAGGACTGTGGTTCTAAGGAGTTACCACCTGAATTCACTGAGGAGAAGGAGGAAGAGGTAAACACGTTCTCACTGTTACCAGGGTGCAAGAAACATGGTGGCACACCAACTGCAGAATTATGCCCTATCCTGCATCCTTCCCAGTTTAGCAAATCAAAGCAATTACTACTTCACATGCTGCTGTAGGGCAACCATGACCTTCTGTGCAGAAAATGGTGTCCAAATACCTCTGGGATGCAACACAGGCCACAAACTAGCATAGAGGGGGGGTTTATGTTTATGCTGCTGAACTAGTTAACAGCTAATGTAGGAAAGTGGGGCATGCTTTGGCCTTTCCACCTTGGCTGCTCAAAGACCTTGTTCAGTCAAGAAGTGTTGGCATTTTGCTCCCTACTTTTCTCATTGAGGTACTGCTCCCACTCAGCTCTTTAGTGCACAGTCCTATGTTTCCTCATGCATGTGGTACCCAAAGGGCTGGTACTTTTACCACGGCTGATACACTGCATGCAGAGGATGGAGACCACAATGGTGCTGTTGGCAGCTGATACATCAAAAAAAGGTCCACGCTGTAGCACTCTTTAAATTTGCTGCCTATTCAAGAACTTGGCTACTGTCCTAATGCTAGCCAGGTTCTACTAAAAATATACCTGAAGTCATTTGAATATTTGGGGAATAATTAGGGATATGGGGATGGGAGGGGATTTGGAGAATGAGGAGTTGTGATTTTGAAGTGTTTTGGTGCACTTTATTTTGACATTAAACTTTTTTTTTTAAATGCAGTGTGCTACTCTGATAAAAAAAGAAGCACAGCAACTGTACTATGAAACTGTTGTGCCATTGGCCACTTTTATATGAAGCTGAGGCCGTATGCTATATTTTTGTGAAGATGAAGAGTACAATTCCCTCTAGCTTTTAGAGGTGGTGTGGCAGACTACTACACCAGTCAATTCATGCCACTTACAGCTGGTTAAAGAAATCAGGTGTTGCATCAGAAAAAAAATAAAAAATTCCTAGTTATAACTATGAATCAGATTGAGATGTTGCTGATAAATCTTGCCATCGAATTCACAAGGAGGGCTCCCTTCTGAACGGTACTTTTTGATTTGTTTTGCATGTCAGAGCAGTGCCCAGCTCCCCACACCCTTTTCTTGACATTTCCTTTGCCTATTAGCCTTGAAGATAGTCAGAACTGATTTTCAGGCCCCCTACCCCCACCTCGTATTGACTTCATGAGGGTTCAGATTAAAGTTTGCAATTTCCAGAATTCACCATGGGTTCGATGGATGGACGGGCTGCATCCATTTAACAATTGTAATCATGTTAGTATGTTTAATGTAGGCATGCAAACATTACAAAACCACATGGTTTATTGCTTAGAACGATGTGCTGCCTTAACTGCATGCAATTCAAAGTTAACTGAAAACATCTGTCTGCAAAGACAGTTGCAGAAAGTGAGTTCTGGAGAACTGCCCAGTTTTAGAAAGGGGAAGGGTGGTGGTGATGAGGGGGGGTGTGTGGTTAATATGTTCAGCAAAGCTCTCTTTGACGTGTGGTTGAGATGGGTGTGGGGAGGGAGGGAGGGAATAGGTCTCCTCAAGTTTTGGAGAAGGGAGGAGTGCCTTAGTGCAAACAACTTTGTGTAAACTCTCTTCCAGGCATCACTTGTAAGTGAACAGAGGACTGCAGACTCAGACAAGGAGTGCAAGAACACCATCTCCTTCAAGAGTACTATTTATTCAAATTGTACTTATTAACGGTGAGTTATTTCATTCTTACTACGCTGTAGAACACTCTGTTTTTTTACTAGTGTAAACTAGGTATAGACAGCTTGCCGGGGAACTACAAATGCAAGTTAACCTTAGCAAGCTATTTCAAGCTACAGAAACATATATTTGATAGAATGGAGAATTTGAATTATTGTATTTATAAAGCAGCTATAGAGGTGCATGCACTTTAAAGTATTGGGGTCGATTTGCTAAAGAGTTTCAGAATCTTCACTTATATCTATTCATGTGAAGATTAAGTAGATAAATAGGAATAAGCTTTTTACAAGATTGGATAATAGAAATAAATCTCTACTCTACTTTAGGAAATTGGGTGAACATTCTCAACTCCTTTAATACTTCATCCTCATTAAATGGACCGCTTTTGAATGCATTACAACTACATTTACGACAATGTTTTATTATATGAGGATTGCATGATGTGCACATATTCACACATTCCTAAAGGCACAACGTCAGTCTACATACGCCCACACTGTATCTTCATTCAGGACCACATGATTTGTATTTATCTTGCAGTCTCCATGTAACTAGTATAGAATAAGGAATTATAGATTATATCTATGTTGAATACTAGTGTATCTTGATCCTGAGTCTCGGTCCTTTCCTTTACAATTTATTAGCAGCAATGAGTGAATTTTTAAAAATCAAACCTATTCCGAATTGCATATAAGAAATATCAGGGTCAAATGCTGGTCTATGATCTGGTTTGCTCTAGTTTTAATGTTTCTTCTTTGAAGAGTAAAAAGAGACAGATGTTGAACATAGTTTAGGATGAGGGGCCCTGGTATGTATGGGGATACATGAAATAGGCTCTACCATTTACAGATGTAGGTCTGCACGTGGCTCACATTTAAGATGAAAAATACTCTCATTCATTAACACTTCTGATGGTTGTGTTCCATCTACATAAATTCTTTCCAGTGGTGAAAGTGCCTTTGTGTACAAAGAACGGCTAAACTAAAATACCTGCTTGTAGAAGTATGCAGGAATTTTCCATAGACCAGAAAAGGATCAGTTATATAGAATGTGATTTTGCTGGCCATCTAGGGGTTTTCCAAAATTGTGAAATGGGGACTCTGGTGTATAATTCAGTAAAAATTATTGCTGGGTATATGGCACTATGAGTACAGATACATGTGGTTGGTATTTAACGGTGAGATAACATTTCTTATTAGTAATGGAAAATATGGTTCCTTTTTTTCTTAGCGAGAAGATGTATAATGCATTTATTTACTGCTGCTTAACTCCAGTAACCAAAGTGATGCTGTGTGTACAGTAAATTGATTATTATCTCCATGGTAACTTAGTAACAAGCACATCTCACTTAAGCAAAAAACAGAACCTACCTATCTTGGTAATGTAATGGGGATAAATGTGGGTGGACTAGATATTCCCTTGTCTCCTGTTAGGTTAAATCCTACATTTTGTTCTTCATGTTGGAGGCGTATATCTTTGGGTCTAGGAGACTGTAAATAGATAATCTGTATGTCAGATCTGAAATGTAAATTTTGAATGCCAAATTTGTTTAGGGTGCAAAAAGGCTCAAATGGGAACCTAATTAGGCCTTCTTGTGTTGTTTTGCTTTGGGGTATCGCTGTAGGAGAATGCTGGATTATAGATTTCATAATAGTGTGATCCACTATGTCAGTTCATTTTAGAAGGGGGATGCAGGGATGAGAGAAGTAAAGTCGAATGTATGCTTTCTTCCTTTAGCTGCTCTGACTGCATGCACAAGGGGGCAATTATTTTGAACTCCTCAGAGGCTAGTTGAGAAGGGCGCTGCTGACAAGTGGGGTGCAGAGCGACAAAAGGGAGGTTTGCTGAATAACCATTGGCAGGTTGTCTAAGAACTGTTTGTGAGTTGTGAGGGTCAGGCCCGGATTTCCCACAAGGCCACCGAGGCCCGGCCTCGGGGCGGCAGAGTGCCGACGGGCGGCAGCGGTGACCCTGTGGGGAAGTTGCGGGCTCCGGTGTAAAGGCCGTGACACACTGCACGCGAAGCCGTGCAGAGCGAAGCAAAGCTCTCCGGCACGGAGCTTCGCGTGCAGTGTGTGAGCTGAGTGCAGTCAGATGATTGACTGCACCTTCAGCCAATCGGCTCGTCTGTAACAACCGGCCAGACGTCGCATCCCGTCGCGCCGGTTTATACGCGTGAGCCGATTGGCTGAAGTTGAAATTGTTCATCTCGGCACGCTCAGCTCTGCGAGCTCTCGCAAGCTGAGCTGCCGAGCAGAAAATTACATGACACACTGCTTGCAAAGGCAGCGCGTCACCAACAGATTGTCATGAATGGGACAGATAGCTTTGGAACAAAGCAATCAAAGACTGAAACAACTGAAATATTTATGGTAAACCAGAGATATAGGGGGTTTCTCCAAAGAGGATAAGAATGCCTGGATTGCACTACTGGATCCTTATGCCCATATCTTCACTAAAATAATAGCGTAAAAACAAGATTGCCACAGGTGTTGCATCTCCTATTGGGAACACAACCACCGCATTACCCACTTCCGCAGCTGGAGGTTAAGGAGATGATATAGCAGATAATGCACAATGAGATCACTGATGAATGTCAGAGCTCCTGGAAAGCTCCCACAAAAATATGGCATTGCATAGATGTTGCATCTATTAGACACTTACCACTGTCCAGGTGTTGCATGCATACTTGCCTTCAATGCAAAACAACTGATGGATTATGGGTACTTCACTCTGTATAAGGTGATCAATTCAAGTGGCTGAGAAGGACGTGCCTTTGTAATACCTGAAAGCCCACAGCGTAAATATATGCCCTTTGCCCAGAGCAGTGCTCAAGCCAAATTATATTATGCAACATGGGATAGAGCACACTCCAGACATAATAGTTACAGCGTAAATTATCCCCCTCCTACCCCCCCCCCTTACCCTTTTTTCAATTGGACATTGCAATATTAGTACTATACTATTTAAAGTATAACTGTGGACAAGCTATGGATATTAAAATATATACATGATACTAACAAATGGCAAATAAGCTTAGTAGCTGCATGATCTGTGAAACAATTCATCTTTAAATTTCACAAGAGAAGCAATTAAGTCATCCCTGTCTAAAGCTGGCCATACACCTATAGATTATTTGCAGATTTTCAATGGTCAGATAGAAAAAGTGCAACAGATTCCTCCATCTAGGCTAAACTGTGTGGATGGAGGAATTTCCCACTGGGCCAAGCTTCAGTATCTTGCTAGCCGGCCCCGCTGGCTCTCAAAATACCTGAACAATCTGATTGGATGCAGGCATTGTTCAGGTATTTTGACATCCCCCCCCCCTGTGGAACATGTTCGAGGTCAGGGCCTTTCTATGTTTGGTGCAAGGCATTTTAAAGGTTAGAGGAAGAAAAAACTGCCTGGCCATTGGCGTCAGTGTGAGGAAGAATGACCCTGCATCAGTAGTTAGTGAGAAGAAAAGTCGCCCCAGCGTCTGTGCGTGGGAAAATGCCTTGTTGGTAGCGGTCAGAAAAAAAAAAATAGTAAAGCATCAAGGGATGCTAAAAACCATACAGATAATTTACAAATTTAAAGCCATACTTTTTATTGCTAACAGTGTTGGTAAAGGTTAGAACCTGTCAGGTATTTACCATTGTCTGTGTCTCTATTGGGACCATTTCCTGTTACACCTGCCACTGAAACAGGAAGTGATGGTAAATTTCCCCATTGAGGATACAGATCTAAATTTTACCCATACTACCGGAAATTAAATGTTCCTGTTGATGATCTCCCCTATGATCTCCGCTAATTTCCTTTCACAGTGGCAGGTGAATTTAAAGTACAACTTTCATAAGAGAAACATGTGGGCTGCAATTGCTGGCCTTCTTCTGAAAAACCTAAAAGCCTGGCTGTATCTGGCTTCACTACTTTTGAATCTCTAAAGCAGAACAAGCCAGCAATGGCAGTTTCCCTAATGGTGACATTGGACTTTTTCCAACACGGACACCGCAGTAAAACAAATGTTTAGGATCTAACCCTATCCTAATTTATGGAAAACTATAATAAAAGTTTAGACTGAAAGTGGAATGCATTGCGATTGTAATTTTTCTGCTTATGGCTTTCTTATGAACTTTTCAGATAGTCTTGTAAAAGATTGGTTAGAATTGCTGGCCCAGGGATATTGCATTTTTCTATGCTGAGCTTAGAATACTAGATATACTCAGGAACTTTTTATTGTTAACCCAGGGCGACAAAAATAAACAGACCCTCCTTACATAAAGTTCTATAAAAACCACAGAATGCATCCTGAAAGATAAAGTATTTTGTCATATGAAAATTGCAGCAATACCTACAGAAGACACTGTTTATCAGGGTAAAAAAACCTATGTAATTATAAAATGATTCATTTGTTTGTTTCTTTGATCACTACAAACTCACCCTCTCTGTCTCTCATAGAACAGATTCTTTACCACTCATATTGCTTAATTAAAGGGGGCCACACAGAGATCCAAAAATCTCTAAGTCAAACGATGTATACTCAGGTTCTACACGTCTCTGCTTCTCTAAAGCTTACTAACCACTAGGGATGCACCGATACCGATACTAGTATCGGTATCGGTGCCGATACCGAGTATTTGGGTGAGTACTCGTACTCGCTCAAATGCTCCGATACCTAGCACGAGTTCTTCCTATATCAGGAAGCCAGGCAGCCAGGCAGCTGCCCGGTTTCCTGATTGGCTAGGAAACGGCTCCATGCTCTCTCGTCACTTGTGATGAGAGAGCATGGAGCCGACTTCCCGGCCAATCAGGAAGCCGGGTAGCGTGCAATGACGCGCTGCCCGGTTTCCCGATTGGTCAGGAAGCTAGCAAATCTGGAAGCCGGGCACCGTGTAATGACGCAGCGCCCAGCATTCTGATTGGCCGGGAAGCTGGTGTCATGCTGCCTCGTCATCTCATAAATCATAATATTAAGAAAGTGACCTTAAGTCATTAGTTTGTATTGCTTTAG